TGCAAGAGATTCCCATTACATCAAGATAGATTGGCCACTCCGACAGTCATTGGAGCCTGGGAGGAAAAGTGTTCAGCATCCACCACTTGTTGAATCAAGGAAGATTTTGTTACCACCCTTACACATCAAGCTGGGTCTGATGAAGAACTTTATCAAGGCCATGGACAAAACACAAGCAGCTTTCAAGTACCTCCGTGGAAAATTTCCAAGGTTAAGTGAAGCTAAGATAAAGGAAGGTGTCTTTGTTGGTCCTCAGATTCGTGAACTTCTTCGAGATGATGCATTTGACCATGCACTGCGTGACAAGGAAAAGACGGCATGGAAAGCCTTCCAGTTAGTGGCAATAAATTTTCTCGGAAACAACAAGGCAGACAACTACAGGCTGTTGGTGGAAAACCTCCTCAAGGCATACAAAAGCCTTGGTTGCAACATGTCACTAAAGATACATTTTTTGCACTCTCATAGATTTTTTTCCACCGAACTGCGGAGCAGTGAGCGACGAGCACGGCGAGCGATTTCACCAGGACATTGCAACAATGGAGAAACGCTATCAGGGCAAATGGAGCCCATCAATGCTTGCAGACTATTGCTGGACAGTGACAAGAGATGCTCCATTTAATGAATACAAGAGACAAGCCAAGAAGCGCCGAGTAGACACTGAATAGGACTAAACTATGTACATAATAGTTTTTTGCCTTTTGTTTCATAATAAATTTTATTTATATAACCCTTTTGCTGATTTTTAAAGTGTTACATAAACAGGGCAGGTCAAATATTATCATGTTAAGCAACCATAAACACGTGAAAAGATCTAGGTTTACAATTTATGATTAAAACTCTATCTACACAATATACATAGACGTAAAATGTAAAAACTTAAATATCTTGGAAACAGTAGCCAATCAATTGTTTTAATTGTCATATTTGAATTTAGCACATCATAATACAAAATAAATAGCACATTTTATCTCTGGAGCAGACGACTTCTAAAAAATTGTAGACCAGTGTTAGCGGAAGTTTACTGTACATGGTGAGGATGCTTTTTATGTAGTGTGAGAATATTACTGTATTTTTAAAGTGTTGTGTGTTTTTTAACTTGATGGTTTGTTCCTTGACAAGTTCTCTGAAGATATATGGACTAGCCGTGAATTTTTTAAATGACTAGACATTTTTATTGGTTTTTGTCTGGAATGTTTGTGTACTATACCTATCTACATAGATATAAAAAATAAATATATACTACATGGCTCTTCGCACTCTGTCCACAGCTATTTTGGCTCCTCTTCTCTAACTGGTTGGCCACTCCTGTACTACATTTAAACTGCAGAGTTCCAGGGGGCCGCATGAGCCCAGGACTAAGAGACAGGTAGGTGGCTCTTACTAAATCTAAAAGGCAGAGCCACAGCACTTCTGCTTCCCCTTACCCTCCCCACACCGCAGAGACGGTGCTGGGGGAAACTGGATCCCCCCAGCTCCTGCTACCCTAGCCTTGCTGTCTCCATATCAGAAGCAGCAAGGGAGGGAATGCAAGTAGTCAACTTGACTACCCGATAAGCTGACTATTCAACTACTCCTTCACATCCCTTGCAATCCTAAAGGCAGGGAAGCTTGAATTTTGGCAAGATTCTCCTAAATAAGAAAAATATTACTTAGAACATAAACATATACTTAACCTGTCTGAATTCAGTATTTTTTGTATTTGCTAAGTTATGGATGTGCTGCCTTCCCATGTCGTGGTGTGTTGTGTCTTGGGTGGTTTTTTGGGGGAGAGGGCATGGATTTTCCCCCTATTGTTAGTCCCTTTATATAGAAGGGAAAGATGTTTAAATTAGGAAATTAGAAAAGACAAAAGTCAACAAAAGTGTGATTTATCTTACCCTTTCCCCCTCTCCCCAGATTTTTTTAAAAGCGGTGCTGCAGTGAGTTCTTTCTTTGTAGCTTGTGAAATGTTACTTTACAGTTGAAATGCTGTTAAAATAATGAAATGAAAACAACTGGAACCATCTTCAGCCTTCTGCTACTTTTCAGCATTGCCAATGTGGATTTTATATCAAGCGGTTAAACCTTGCTACCCTGGTGAGAGTTCAAGGGAATGTCTTACTGAAACGTATAATCGACAAAATGACAAGATTGCAGCCGGAAGCAGGCTTTGTAAACACAGTTCTCTTCATTTAGTCTACTCTTTATGGTGAACAGTATCCAGTTCACAGAATGGAAATTAATACTGTCATTGTTTCGAAATATATTTGAGTTCTTTATGATCATCCTGATTATTCTAAAAACTAATTTTAAATTGGAATTTTGTCTTAAATCTGTCTGAATAAAATATTTTCTAAGTGAATATTTATGTTCTGGTAGAACTTACCAAAATTCAACAAAAATACTATTCTATTTTTAGCAGATAAAAACATAATCAAAATTACATTTATGTGAATCTATAAATATTCAAGGTAATGTTTTTGTTGAGATGCTTCCTAAAATTGATTCTCTTAAAGTTTTGTAAATATCATTACTCCAGTGATTGTTTTTCCTTTTTAAAAAATAAATCTAAATATTGTTTAATCAATTATAAAATGTCTTATTTATCTTTTATAGGTGAAACTTTTTTTTCTAGCAGACCCCACATTTGAGTTGAGTACATTATCATTATTTCTACAAGTTCAGAACTTTAAGTGAGCTAGAGGAAAACATGAAGAGTAGGGTGGCACAAATAAATGTAAGTACTGTGAAGCTTTAACTTTTAAGGAGAAGTACAACTTTGTTTGATATTTTTATGTGAGTTTAGTGTGTAAGGACCTATTTTCCGCTTGATATATGAACACAAATTCCCTTCAGTTAATTAGGAATTGCAGCATATATTGGAGGGAGTATGTGTGTATGTATGTATATAAGTAAATTACGAACAAGCATTATTATTATTTGAACCAGCAAATAGTAGTTGTTGCCCAACATGTAAGAGTGATCTTGACAACAGATGTCCCAAGTGCTCTTGGCAGCCATGTGGAAAGGGAATGAAGTGCAAGGAGAAGTCGAGAAAAGATAAAAATAGTTCAATAGAAATCATATGTGAGTGGAGGATTATAGAGAGAAGGAAAGGTGAAAAAATGGTAACTGTGTTCAAATGGGAGGATGTGAAGGGAAGTAGGAGTATAAAAATGGGGGGAAGAAATGAAAGGGGAAGGAAAACAGAGCAAATTGATTCAATCTTTTTCTGGGTTATGATGATGGATATTGCAAGTTGGACCACCCTGGTCCCGGTCCTGAATGAGGGAATTTGCCAGACCTGGAGAGGTCCTCTGCCACAGGCCCCTGAGCCCACCCCTCTGCGACTGGCTCCCCTGCTGCTGGATAGGCTCTGGGCCCTGCTACCATCAAACAGACTTTCTGGTCTATGAACATCCATGGTCCTGCCACATCACAAATGTTGTTCGGCTTGGGAATTTCACCGGCTCCCGGTGCCCCTGCCCTCCCCGCCTCCTGACAGCCTTACCCCCCTCTCCAGGCCGCATCCTGCCCCCCCCCCCCCAGTTGGTTGCCCACCGGGCGGGCCGCCCCCACCCCCCCACCAGCTCTAGCTCATGGCACCCATGGCAGCTTGCCCTTCCCCTCTGCCTAAGACCAAAAAGACAAAAATAAAAAAAATATATTTTTTTAAAAAAGACAATCTTTCTAAAAGCACACCAAACGACTGAAAATAAAGTTTTCAGCTACCAGTTTAGGAGAAAGATTGGATGGCTAAGTACAATGGTAGTTGCAAACTGTTAGCTATCCACGCTTTCTCCTAAACTGGTAGCTGAAAACTTTATTTCTTACAATGAAGGGTCCTGCCCTTTTCAGAAAGTGACTGTTGTATGTTTCAAAATGGACAGGTGCAGTAAAGGAATATAGTGGCAAGTGAAACTTATGTCTGAAAAGATAGACTTTCTTCTAGAATGTTGGTTTCATGATATGGATGTAAAAATATGTTTAAAAATGTAACCACTAAAAATCCAAGCAGTTACATGAGCTGTGGAGGCTTGGATGCAGGCTCTACAGCCAGCTCTCTGGGAGCCAGCATGTAACCTGGAGTGGGGGAACTGGGGGTTGGGCCTGCCACAGACATGGGCTGCTCTAGCTAGCCAGCCAGAGCAACCCCTGATTAGAGGGAGGAGGATGCCATGAGCTTTCCGCTTGAGATGCAAAAGTCAGACACCACTCTCAGTAGATCATATGGTTATTCAAAATATGATCCATGCATATTTTGCTGAGCTTGGCTCCCCAAAGGGCTCAGCTCCATAAATTAGACTGGAAAGGGAAAAAGCAGTGCTCATCATAGATGTTCATGATATGATCCTCCCTTTGCTTGCTTTGTTACGTGATTTGTTCAGCAGTAAAATAGTTACATTTTTAATGTTTAAATGTTTTTTGGACTTGATAACTCTTGATATCCTTGTGGCAGTTTACATATCTCACAGCTGATTTTTCAGATTGTCTGCAAACTCATACAGACATTGCATTGATTATGTTAAGGATTATGTTTATGCTGGGATTCTTTTCAGTGCAAATCCGATTGTAGATCGGTATGGGCGCAACTGGCCCATTTTGTACCATTGTCGATATTTCTATAGAATGAAGAGGAGGGGTATCTTTCAAATGTATGAATTAGAAATGTGCTTTTAAAAAAATAAATTGAGATTCTGGAACACACAATGTCATCTTAAAAAAATCAAAATATTGGCTCATTGAGCCAGCATGGGTCATCCCAGTTGGACCCTGTAAGGGAGGATATTTCAGCATTCATTCATGTAGGTATTACGTAGCAATGTAAAAATTCATGGTGGTTACATGCGCTATGGGTTCTGCTGTGTAAACCATAAATCTGCATTATACTGCAGAACTCACACCTTCCCTGGGCTCAGGGCCAGTAGCAGCCCTTTCTGGCCCCATTACGAGGAAGGAGGCCTCGCTGCAGGCTCTGCAGCTGGCTCCCCGGAGTGGAGCTGGCAGCCTCTGTCTAGCATTCTAAATTTACATTTGACTGGCTCCAAAGTGATATAGGGACTAGTATGCCAGCTTATTTGTGAGCATGCTGTCCTCCTTATAGATGGGAGTGAGGGTCAGGATCAAGGTTCCCTCTAAGCTGCGCCACTGTTGAATGGCCCCACAACTGCTTAATGAGTTCTGCCAAGGGCTCAGGGCTGCACACACAGGGAGGGGCACGTCTTCCTGAACTATAGCAGCAGCTCCCTGCTGAGGACACAGCAAGGAGGGGACATGTCTTGTTAGATCTTTCTCAGTTGAGGAAGAATCGCCCCTCCCTCAGTAGGGATGTGAAGGACTGACTGATCACTCTCTCTTCTCCTCCCCCCCCTTCCCATGCCCCTATCACTGACGGGGGAGGGGCGGGGGGGAAGATGGGGTACTTCATAGCAGCAGTGCTGCTTGAAGCCTGAGGCCAGACCCCAGGCTCCATGTGGCACTGTCACTTTGAAACGCTGCCTGCAGCCCAGGGCCAGCTGCAGTGTCCCCAGGCTGCACGTGGTGTTTCAAAGCGACAATGTTGTGCGGAGCCTGGGATCAGCTGGGGACTCCCCACTGACCTACGGCTCCATGCAGAGCTGCCATTTTGAAACACCGCAGGGAGCCTGGCATCAGACTCATCGCAGCATTTCAAAGCGGCAGAGCCGCGGAGAGTCCGAGATCAGATGGGGAAGTCGCCTTTGAAGTCGCTTTGCGGTGCTTTCGCCTTTGAAGTTCAGCAATAGCCCTATGGCTGCTAGTCAATATTTAACATCCTTAACATTAGTCGATGTTTAACATCCTTATACCCCAGCCAGGCAGCTATGTTAATGGAGCTCTAAGCCCCTGACTGGGCAGGGCTCATTAAGCAGCTGTGGAGCTGTGCTATCATGCAGTTTAGAGGGAACCATGATCAGGATATATTCTGAATGAGTACTGATGACTGTTACCAGATTTGCCCAATACTCTGGGGTATGCTCATTTATCAGGGTTACACTTATGGGACTGGGGGAAGGTTAACAATTCTATCAGTGTGCTGTTTGTGTTTACTTGTGCTCTCATATGGAGCTGAATTCTCCCTGCTGCCAATTCCCCCTCCCACTGGAGCTCTACCGCAGGCACTAGGTTCCTCAGGACGGGGTTCTTACCACCTTGCAACACACAGACACTCACACCCACTAATCTGATAGGACACTCACAAGCTGACCCCCTCATATGTCCACTCACAAGCTGACCCCCTCATATGTCCACTCACAAGCTGACCCCCTCATATGTCCACTCACAAGCTGACCCCCTCATATGTCCACTCACAAGCTGACCCCCTCATATGTCCACTCACAAGCTGACCCCCTCATATGTCCACTCACAAGCTGACCCCCTCATATGTCCACTCACAAGCTGACCCCCTCATATGTCCACTCACAAGCTGACCCCCTCATATGTCCACTCACAAGCTGACCCCCTCATATGTCCACTCACAAGCTGACCCCCTCATATGTCCACTCACAAGCTGACCCCCTCATATGTCCACTCACAAGCTGACCCCCTCATATGTCCACTCACAAGCTGACCCCCTCATATGTCCACTCACAAGCTGACCCCCTCATATGTCCACTCACAAGCTGACCCCCTCATATGTCCACTCACAAGCTGACCCCCTCATATGTCCCTGGACTCAGCTGGCTGGGTTTCACAGCAATGCCACACTGCACCCTCATGTGCCTTTGGACTCCGTGGGCTGGATTAAACAGCACTTTAAGCTGCCATCCTCATAAGCCCCCAGGTTCAGCACCCCTTATCCCCACTTTCACACCACAGTCATTCACAGGTAAACCACACGATGAGCAAACCCCACAGGATTTTGGGCACTACAGGGATCTTTTGCTTGGGTACAAGAAGCGTTGTTGCAGAGCGAATGGGGAAGCCAAAACAACACCCCTTAAGGAAGAGTGAGCAAAAGAGAAAGAAAGAGAGAGAAGCAACCAGCTTAACAATGAAAGTGATTTATTTCTGAGCAGTGAATAGGTATCAAAAAGTTACAAGATTAAATCTAAGAATTACAATATTAAATCTAAACTGAAACTGATTACAAATGTTAGGTAACCATAGAACATTTTACATAGGGTAGGGTCAGGAGGCTATGTTTAGAGAGATAGTTGATGAGAGAGAGAGAGACATAGTTGATGAAAGAGAGAGAGAGAGAGAGACCTCACCACTCCATGGAGCTTGCACTGATCGGGGTTCCCAGATGATGATGGTAGCCGGGGGGTCCAGAGGGCAGGAGATAAGCAGAACAGAGCCCCCAGCACGATCAGACAGGCGATGAAGAAGTCTCAATGGAACTGATGCAGTTCAAGTCCAGGTATCAAAACAGTTTTTCTTGGGGCAAAGATAGGCGTTTTATAGGGATAGTTCAAAGAGACAGAGGAGAGACAACAGAGACTGATCACCCCTGGCTATGGGGCATGTTCCTTGAAGGAGCTCACAATGCACCTAGGCAGTTTCAGTTTTTTAGATGTCAATAGGATCGTTACTAGAATTGGTCTGATAATGACTAATTTGGGTGTGAGCAGGCCTGGATTCATTAGCATCTGGAGCAGGGATTTCCCATCAGGCAGTGCTTCTCTGCTTTCGGTGTCCCATAGTTCACTGCGGTTCCTGCCTTGGAAGAGCTGCTCTCCATTCTGTATGCTAATCAGATGTCCCTCTGTTCCATCTTTAACGTAAATGAGGCTGGGGTGTTTCCTTAATTGTATCACCCTTGTCTGAAGCAGTTTAGCTGTGTCTTCCCCGGCCTTCTCATTGCTTTGTCAGATTCCAGCAAAGGCTGGGTGTGTGGTTTTCCATGAATGTCACTCCCTGGCTCCCAAAAGCACAGGGCGGTAGGTAACATGACAGAATTTAGGAATGTTGTAAACAGCTTTTGGTATGGCCTCTTCTTGTATCAAGGTGATGTGTTACTCCACTCAAAGGTGGTTTTGTTTTAGTTTTTCTTGTTTTGGTTTATGTGGACTTTTTTGGCCAGATAGTATCAATTTGTGTTTCTGGTGAATCAGAAATCCCATTTTGTGGGTAATTTTATACGATAAAAGGGTAGAATTCAACAGAGATGATTGCTTAGCATAGCTACATTAATTATGAGAGAGCTTGGCAAGCTTTGGAAATGTATTTGTAACTTCTTTTGTAGGTCTATTGTAAGTGTACTTTTGATAATTTTGAATGACTGTGTGGTTCTGGTTTATGTTATGACCAGAAGTATTAACTTCACGGTGAAGTGTTTGTAGATATAGATTTGTAAAGTGATTGCACTTTTCAAAGGTTAAAATCGCAGTTATAGAATTGCTTAAATATTAAATGTGTAGTTTAGAAAATGTAAAACAAAGGGTACAGTGTAGAAAATGTAAAACAAAGGGTACAGTGTAACTTGGACAGATAAAATGAGGTAACTTAACAGGAATTGAGGGGAGACATATAGGGGGACATCATGGAAAATATTAATTCTAAATAGAAATTTGAAGGAGAAAGAAAGGGAGAGCTTTTGTTAAACAGTTGGTACAGTAGGAGACTGTTCAAAGTGTAGGGGATGGCATGAGAATTGGTATAAAATTTCAGAGTGGGAGAACATAAAATAATCCTTGTTATAATATAGGGATGCTTAATAATAAATATACCATTATATAAAATGTCTTATTGTGTTAAATAATTTAATACTTTGTTTTAAAGCATGGCTCCAGTTATGAAAGAAGAGAAAGCTCTCACCGGAGAAGTTCCTCTCCAGAAGACAGGTGAACAGTTTGTTTTAATTGCCTTAATGTACTTTTAACTACTATTAATCTTTGAGAGTGGATTAGATAAATACAATGATACACATTTTTGTTCCATATTTTTCACTCATGTTAATAGATTAACATGACATACATACGTATAGACATAATACAATATCATTAATTATGAATGGAAATGGGAGAGCAGTAATTGAATATTTTTAATTAAAGATTTTAAAACTCTTCAGCTTTCATTTTAAATTCTGGAGAGCTTTACAATGGAAATTGGATTTCAGTCTGTTGCATGGCGCCATTGCTATTAATCACAATTGACACTTTATTGCAAGGCTGCAGATGTCAACTGGAGACTCAAAAATGTCATTTTATATGCTATTTAACACACATCAGGCATGAAATGAATTATTTCAGGGTAACTTTCTTTTAATTTCCATTTCACTTACAGTGAAACATTCTGTGATAGAATCATAGAGCTAGAAGAGACCTCAAGAGGTCATCAAGTCCAGCCCCCTGCCCAAGCAGGACCAATCCCAACTAAATCAACTCAGCCAGGGCTTTGTCAAGCGGATAGTTAAAAACCTCTAGGAATAGAGATTCCACCACCTCCCTAGGTAACCCATTCCAGTACTTCACTACCCTCCTAGTGAAATAGTTTTTCCTAATATCCAACTTAGATCTCTCCCACTGTAATTTGAGGCCATTGCTCCTTGTTCTGCCATCCGTCACTACTGTGAACAGCCTTTCTCCATCTTCTTTGCAAGTTCCCTTCAGGAAGCTGAAGGCTGCTATCAAATCCCCCTTCACTCTTCTCTTCTGCAGACTAAACAAATCCCAAACCATCAGTCTCTACTCATAGATTATGTGCTCCAGCCCCCTAATCATTTTGGTCGCCCAGTGCGTCCACATCCTTTCTATAGTGGGGGGACCCAGAACTAGACACAGTACTCCAGATGTGGCCTCACCAGAGCCGAATAAAGGAGAATAATCCTTTTAATGCTGGCAATGCTCCTCTTAATGCAACCTAATATGCCATTAGCCTTCTTGGCTACAAGGGCACACTGTTGACTCATATCCAACTTCTCATCTACTGTAATGCCAGGTCCTTTTCTGCTGAACTGCTGCTTAGCCAGTCGGTCCCAAGCCTGTAACAATGCTTGGGATTCTTCCGTCCCAAGTGCAGGACTCTACACTTGTCCTTGTTTTCTAAAATGTTTCCTTTTATGCCAATATATAGGGTATACTTAGCTTTGCATGGGTTAAACAAAGACGACAGAAATAAGGTGAATGAGTACGTTCAATGGGCAGTCTTGCGACTTGCATAGTGCTGAGTACACTCACTGTTTAATTTCCTTACCATTTATCATTTTAACTGCTGACTTTTCTTTTATAATTTTTTTAAAGGTTACACCCTTGTCAGATTAAAAGTGTGCATCTTTCTGCCTTTAATTATGTTGTTAATTAATATGTTAACAGTGAAATTCTGTTCATTGGTACCAAAGTAGGGCCTGCTAGTTTTTTAAATATCAGTATATGTGCAACCCATGACTGAAAAACAAACCCCAAAGAGTATGATTCCTATAAACCAGAAGCTGCTTAAAATTTTGCTAAAAAGATTTTTGTTTTGTGTTAGGAGAGAGCGTGAGAGGTCTTGGTCTCCGAGAGACAGAGGTTACTCTGACCATAAGTATGATGAACAACATTCAGGAAAGGGGCGTGATGACAAAACGATGGAAATCAGGTAAGTATTTAAATATTTTGAAAAGGAAATATAGTGTTCATGCTGCTTAACATAGTTTTCCATACTTAATATTTTGATTGAAACTAAACAACTACACTGACCTTGGTTTGAACTCTTGGACAGCTTTCATTTTCTTAAGATGTGAATCTTTCGACATGTTTACTTTCCAACTTTTATCTGATAGAGGGTTGGGGAGAGAGACTCCCCAAGAGAAGGAAGGAGAGAGAGAATATGATCGAAGGAAACAGAAAAAATTCCCTTCACCAAATAGAAAAAGTCCAGAAAGATCAGTGCAGCAAAGCTCATTTATTCATGATGAACCTCCTTCAAAGAAGAGAAAAGAAGAGCTAGATCCTATCCTCACCCGCACAGGCGGTGCTTATATTCCTCCAGCAAAGCTCCGGATGATGCAGGAACAGATTACCGATAAAAATAGGTAAGTGAAAGTTACAAAATTTCACAATTGGCCGCATTTACTGCTATACTAGAGCATTGTAAAACAGAAGTGTAAAATATCTTTGACTGCCTGATCAGACATGAAAGTTGTTCAGAACCTGTGAAATGCAGAGAAAGCAATGACATGTGCTATAATTCTTGGAGTTGTGACCTAGCATTGAAATGTAAACAATAAAACACAGCATATAAATATGTGGCATAAATGTATATTGATATTTTGTCCTGTAAAATAGTTTTGGGATATCTCTCTTCATTTATAAATGCTTACAGTACTACTGGAATTATTTTAGTCACTAAGAATGTGGAATTGATTCATATCTACACTCACTAAATATTAAGCGTACATATTCATAAATAGGAATCCGGATTACTTGGAAACAGTATGAGTAATGTATTTGTGAGATTTTTTTTTTCTTTGTTACAAAGTCATTTTGGTAGGAACTATAAATATGCCAAAATAACTTTCTTTGTAAAGAAAATTAATACCTTTTCACAATTTCCTAGGAAGTCATTCAAAAATCTGTTGTTAAATTTTGCAGATAACCCTTAATTACATTCTTGCAATTTAAAAAAAATATAATTTCAGTATAATACAGTTAAACATTCCTCTGTCTCTTCATTTCCAGTGCTTAATTAAAATTTCTCTAATAGTTTTCTTCTTTTTCTTTGTCCTAGAAAACCATATTTTGTTATTAGTTATACAGTTGTTATTGGGTATAGAGTAAGGATATGATAGTGTAAGCTGTTAACTGATGAGCCTGGTCTCATTTGTTAACCTTCAAACTATGAGCCTGGTCGCTTAGTTACATGCAGCTCTCCCACTACCCTGCGCTGCTGCCTCTATATCAGAGACAAATAATCATAACATCAAAATGAAAAACGCAGCAAAATATATTATAAGCAGTGCTCCTTTGGCTCTTATTTACCATTTTTGGTATATTAAAGTGCATTTATATTGACCCTAATTATACCTGTATTAGTAATGAAAAATTTTCGTAATAGCTTAGCATATCAAAGGATGAGTTGGGAAGCCCTGAAGAAGTCAATCAATGGTCTTGTCAATAAGGTGAACGTTTCTAATATAGAAAATATCATCCATGAACTACTTCAAGAAAATATTGTAAGAGGAAGGTAAGTGTCAAATGATTGTTTCTTTATAAATAATTCTTTTCGTTTTTCTATTTATAATATGTAACGAATACTAAGGATGTTAGAATGTGGGTTAATTGACTAGTCGATGGAATTTGACTAGTCGATAGGCACTTCTGCATTCCTACATTTCAAAGGAGGAATGTGGAACTCTGTGTACAGCCCGGGGCCAGCGGGAAGCCCCACTGACTCCGGGCTGCTCTCGGGTGCCTGCTGACCCTGGGCTCCACAAGGCACTTCCCCGGGCTCTCGGGAAGTGCTGCGTGGAGCCCAGGATCAGTTGGGGAGTCCCCAGCTGATCCCGGGCTCCACTGCTGTCCCTTTGAAATGCACAGAGGCAGCATTTTGAAGGGGCAACCACCGCACAGATGATCTGCAGAAACGCCACCTTGGCAAATGCTTATCCGATAGTCGACTAGTGTTTAACATCCCTAATGAATACTAATGCTAAGAGTAACTAACAATAGTCAGGTTTTTAAATAATTCTGAAATTTATAAAACAGAAGAACCTGCATGGAAAACAAGTATGGTTTGTTTTCTGAGAAAATACATTGCTGCTGGCAGGTTGGAGAAAACAGAATAAGGGTTTATTTTCATTTTAGGGATACTTTTTAATTTCTAATTACAGTCTGTAAATTTAGTTGTATCAGTTGAGAAAAGCACTTTTTAAAAAACTATAATCTACTAGTGTGTTGTGATCACTGCTGTCTGAGTGCTGTGCCATAACTATTCTTGCCTTTATAAGCTGTGGAATGGGCAACTGCAATGTGTTCTCAAGCCATACGGAAACTCTAGCATTGCTTGTGTTGCTTTTGTTAGCATATTATGCTAATTTTTCTAAGACCAGATTTATTGCTAGTTTTCATGATGATTCGATATTTTGATCTTTGAAATCATTTACATTTTGGATTTTGATTATGAGAGTATTCTTGCCTCGGAGGTCATTTGTGTAACACCCTCCAGATTTAAATGGAGGGCCTTTAATTTCTTCTCTTGATCTGCCAAAATGAAATTCTGTTGATTTTTTTTCAGGTATCTTACAACAGACATATTTCTGTCTTTTGTCGGCCTAAGTAATTGTATATAGGTTTTTAATAGTTCTTAACACTTATTCAACAGGTTATTTGTATTTTGTGCAGCGTCAAAATTCTTTCATGATTAAATTGTTTTAAAAACTGAAAAACTGAGTTAAAACCTTGAAAACAATTCTGAATGGTCAATTTGTAAGTAATATCTTTGCTGATCCTTTTCACCTCACTTAATATGGTATCTGCTTTTCTTGTTTTAAACATTTGGACATAATGTAAAAAAGGCAAAACCACATGGAATTGTTGAGAGCAGGTATAATTGTACAGTCAAAAGAAGCAAATACATATATTGTACAAATTGAGCCTGTCTAGTCTGGAACTCTCTCTGGTCCAGCAACATACATGCTCCAACGCGATTTTAGTTACTTGGCTGTCCACTTATCATGGATGTGGCAAAGTTTCCTGCAGTCCCATAAAGTTTTACAGCCACCTGTCCTGATTCTGTGTTAGGTGCTGTTACTTAACTTGAATTTACTCCTAAGAGTTCAATAAGCAGTGGAAGTGTTGTCAATGCTACAAGACAAGATTGACCTCCGATGGTTTGGCAAATTCTCTGGTTCAGCACAACTGAGGACCCAAAGGTGCTGGACTAGAGAGGTTCAGTCTGTAGGAGGATGACTCTGATCGAAGGATGATGGTGTTCTTATTTAATGAGCTTTTAGAGAAAATAAAACGGGGATTTAGTCCAAGACAGAAAATGTTTTTACAGTCACAAAACCTGGTGGTAGTGCATACAGTAGAGAAGGAATATTTAATATTTTTACTTTCCCAATTTAGATTAATTGTACCAAACAGAACAAGAAAATCTCAATGGTATTTGTGGTTACACACACTGCAGCAGTAACATCTTCTGAGGCAGGAAGAGCAGACTAAATAATAGTTGAGTTATTAAAGAAGTTTAGGGAGCAGGATGAGTAGAAATAATTTCATTTCAAGCACTAGAATAAATCTTGAAATTCCTTTTGAAATTCCTGATCACTGGGCATTTCTCATTCATGTGGCTGACCACAGCCTACTTGTGGCAGACCTAGTGGGAAAGAATACCTCAGTCTCCTTGACTCTCCAAACACCAGTCTTCACTGTTTCTGCCTAGAAGCTGAAGGTTGTTTCATATCTTCAGAATAGCAGGCATGAACTTTCCAGTAAAATAAGGTTTTGTAAGAGTATAGTATTGTCATAGGAAAACAAAAATCTAGTGTACATGACATCTGCACTTTGAAAAAATTAATTTAGATAAGGTGATTATTTTAGATTAATTACAGTGCAGGTAACAATCACATCTTGTCTATCGAGGACTTTTGTGGCCCCCGTCATCTGAGTGCCTTGTAATTTTTAATGGATTTATCTTTATAATACGCCTGTGAAGTTGGGAAATAGCCTTTCCATGTCTGTGGAAATAATATTAAGTGGCTTGGTCATGGTCACATAGGAGGTCTATGGCAGAGCAGCGATTTGAACTCAGCTTTCCCAAATCCTAAAGCAGGGGTCCCAAATTTAATTTAACTTAGAGTCATTGCCAGTCAGCAAATCCTCTTAGCCGACATCCCCTCTGGCAGGGCTCTGAGGAAGCAGTGGGGTTCTCCACGCGTTCCCTCTGGCCCCGCTGTCATGCGCATTGCCCAGCCCGCTGCCCTCAGGTGATCTAGCACATGCACACCAAAGGTCACTACCGCAACTACTGGAAGCTCAGTAGGGCTAGAGCGGCTACTAGTGCCGTGCTGTTGCCAGCACACCCTGTGGCCTGGGAAGGTGTGTGCAGAGCCATACTCCAGTTGCCCTGCAGGGTCCTGGGCAGGCTGCATCAGTGGGAGTGGTGGGGAAGCAGAGTGATGCAGCAGCTTGTTCTGCTCTGGCACCATATCCCTCAGGGGGGAGGGACAAGACAGAGCAGGGTCAGGAAGAGGCAGGGTGAAGCAGGAGCTGGGCTTGGGGAAAGGGTACGGACACATGCTGGCAGTTGCATGTAGGCCAGGTTGTGGAACTACTTGGGCAATTGATTTGAGAGCCCTGTTCTAGGGTATTTACAGTGATTGCTGGACCATCTTTACTCACAGTTGTACTTGTCCATTTCTCTCAGACCTATAGACAGGGAAGAATATCTCTGACCTAACGGCTGCTGTTAGATTGCTCGAGTCTCTGTGCCTCTCCTCTCCCTTCTCCTCCCACACCCCCTAAAAATCAGGTCCCTCCGTTTATATGTCAGGCGGGGGTCAGGTCAGGCTGGACTCGTTGTGCCACTCCTGCCCAGCGAGTCTGCCAATCAGTCACTTATCCCATAAGCATAACCAGTTAAGGGTGATGCTTACCAGTTAACTTTGTGCATTCCTAGGCAGTGGCAGACATTTTGTTAGCTTCTCATAGCTTTGCCAATGTACTTAAATCCTCACATGCAACAGTATATGTGTTGGATTTTTTTTATCTGAGTCTCCCAAATATGTTGAATTGGAACAACTTGTTATCAGTTGGCACCTTTATTGGCTAGGAAAATAAGCTAAAATAACCATTTGATCATCTCCTCTCCTTCTTACAGTTTAGGTTTTTAAAAGCAATGTTTCTGTCCCAGCTGTTAGTTCAAATCATAATTATGGTTTATAGAGGTTTGCTGATGTATCTGTGGAAAGTTCATAGCATTATAATTTGAAGACTATTCTGGTCTTGCTGAAACATCCTGTTTTCTTGATTAGTCTTACACTGGATGGGAGGAGGGGATTGATGGGGTGGGAGGGTTAGTAACATCACATGGAAATAAGATTTCTGTTCCTGAGAAGTTCATTTGCTTTTGAATGTACTCATAATTTAAAAAGTCATAATCCTTTATCATAATTAGTTGTAGTGATGGTGATTATTTTGTCACAAATATTAAGTCAATTGAGTAAGGAACAAGGCCAGATGAACTCTCATGTCGCAAAGATGGTTTTTTCACACACTTACTAATTACTGTAGTTTAAAAAGCAGGGTAGCAACAGAACTACTGTTATTAGGTTTTAGTTTACTTTTTGAATATCAACTGTTACATACGTTTTCATCTAATTTTTAGTGACACTTTCTGCCCTCATGTTTTTTCAATTACATTATGTAACTACTACAAGCTTTCAGATTGTTTTAGCTAGAGTTTGTATTGGGGTAATTTTTTTGTAATTTAACTTTTGTGCTTTTCCCCCATTTTCCCAAACCATTTAATCTTTCACTTTTTAATAATAAAGTTATAGTGAGTATCTTGCTTCTGATGTTACTTTTTCTAAAATAAGTTGAAAAATTAAAAGCAGAGCTTTTTTTTAAATGACTTTTTTCCAGAATGTCATCAAGAGAAATTTCTGAAAGGATTTCATTTTAATCTTCATTTTATCTTTTTTTAGATCAGTTGGAAGTGTAAATCACTTTAGTGATTATTTGAGCACTCTTAGTAAAAAGTTAATTTTTAGTATAGTTATTATTTCAATGCTATTTCTTCTAAGAAATTTAACTAGGTTTAATCTTCATTGGAGAGGGCCCAATATACAATTTTCCATTGTGTTCTGTATATTTACACTTGCCCCTTTTTAAAGTGGACTACCTGCAGACGAATGGCTTTTGTAAATTAGGACTATGTTAAGAGGATGATAGCGGTGCAAAAAGAGACAACTAGAAAGTTTAATGATAGAAATGTAGCCGTGTTAGTCTGGTGTAGCTGAAACAAAAAACAGAACTGTGTAGCACTTTAAAGGCTAACAAGATGGTTTATTAGGTGATGAGCTTTCGTGGGCCAGACCCACTTCCTCAGATCAAATAGTGGAAGAAAATTGGCACAACCATATACACCAAAGGATACAATCAAAAAAATGAACACACATGAAAAGGACAAATCAAATTTCAGAACAGAAGGGGGATGGGCGGGAAGGTAAATGTCTGTGATCTAATGATATTAGAGGTGATATTAGAAAGTTTAATGTTTTTCAAAGATAAAAATATTCTAGTTCTCATATTCTACTGATTTTAAAAATCTTATTTATGTTACTTGTAATTCTGTTAACATTAATATGATTTAGTCTGTCATAGTAGTTTTAGTATGAAAATAACTACTGTTTGGAACTACCTTTACCTATCTGGAACATAGAATATGCTGCTGTTACAATGTAGGTGGTGGAAAAAAAACATTTTTTATTTTTTTTATTGGTACTTATACATGTGTGCATACTCTTACTTACAGGGGATTGCTGTCTAGATCAATTTTGCAAGCACAAAGTGCCTCTCCAATCTTTACACACGTTTATGCAGCAGTTGTATCAATTATCAATTCAAAGTTTCCAAATATTGGAGAACTGATTCTCAAGAGGCTAATTCTAAATTTTCGCAAAGGATATCGCAGAAATGATAAGGTATGTAAGGAAAGCTTATATAAGAACTTAAAACAGTACCATATTGTAACCAGTGATCCCACTTGAATGTTATCCTGTTACTGAGCAGACAATAATGTATGTTTCAAAGGAATGTGTACAACTTCCCAGAACTTGGCATAATGCACTGTATTCATTGTAGTTGCAGTGGTGGTATATCATAGTGTGCTTTTTATGAAACTGACCACATCTTATGCTCTGCAGCATGAAGATTAAAAATATTTTTAACTTTAGAATAAAAGCCATTGTTGTTGCATTTACTAAAGCGTACCATCCTTTTAATGATCTTAAAAGACTTGCTTAGAAATCCTGCGGCAATACTTTATAGAATCACCAACTGCCAGGCTAGCAGGTACCTTTGTAATCATCTTGTCTGACCTCCTATATAGCACAAGTCATAGAACTTCCTGGTTAATTTTAAATTGTGATGGTCACAAATACACTGTTTGAGAGGTCAGGTTTTTAGTTGAGAGCTCTTTGGATACGTGAAGAAATTGAAGTTTATTTAACTGTTCTTTATTCATTTTTTTTTTTCCAGCAACTTTGTCTGACAGCTTCAAAGTTTGTTGCACATCTAATCAATCAGAATGTGGTATGTTATTTTGTATTTGATATGGTTGCACATCTTATGGTTGTACTACAGGTTACATTTACAGCAGTCTTTGAACAGTAAGATGCTTAATTTATTACTTTTTTTTATAAAGAATAATTTTTTAAGAAGGCAACTAAGATCACAAAAAATAGCAATATTTGCTTAGGGAGGAGAGAGGTCTCCTAGGATCTAGCTCTGCACTCAGAAGACTATGTGAGCAGAGGCAGGTGCACATGAAGAGCTTAGTGTCTACAGTGGAGTTCTGTACAAGCATAAGAGTCCGTTTCTGCAAATACAGTTGTAGGATCATTGCCTAAAATAGTCAGCACCTAAACAATAATGGGCTTTATAGGTCAAAATTAACCTTCTTAATTGCACCTAAAACCCAATTGGTGCTAAGCTGTAAGCAACTAGTTGACTATCCAATAAGCATATAGTCGACTAGTGACTTGACTATTCACTCCCTGCCTTGCTGCCTCTATCAGAGAGGGGGGAGCAGGAGCTCATGCTGGGGGGAGTTGACTTAAAAGCTGGTTCCCCCCTAGTACCATCTTTGGGGAGGGGACAGGGACACAGTGGGGAACTGGCAATGCTTCTGCCTTTGAAATGTAGAAAGAACAGGGCTCTTGCTACGTTTCAAAAGCAGAAGTCTCACAGGGATAGTACAGGACTCGCTGGACATGCTCCCTGCTTTTGAAATGTACGACAGCCCTGTGGGCTTCTGTACCTTTCAAAAGCAAAGCACACAGGGATCGCTCAGGGAGTCCTCCACTGGCCCTGTGCTCCCCGTACTCTTGCGCCTTTGAAATGTAGCAAGCTCCATCGGCTCTTGCTACGTTTCAAAGGTGAAGGCGCCCTTATTGACTAATTGAATAGTTGATGTAAATTCCATCAACCATTTGATTAGTTGATTAATCTAAATTTAAGATCTTTACCCCTGTCAATTGGGGATGTTACAATTAGGTTATTTTAGTAATCAAGTAATTGATAGAATTTTTGACTATTCAGTTACTTGATAGGGGAAGGCAGCCAAGACAGTCCCAGCCTGCGCTGGGACCAAACCCCTCTGCAGCTCTGCAATTTAAAAGGTAGTAGAAACTGAGCGGCCTGCCACCCCCTCTGTTCCCACCCCACTCCCAGCTCTTACTGCGTTTTAAATTGCTGAGCTGCAGCGGGATTTAGTCCCCGACCCAACCTGCCTGCCTAGCTGGTAGCAGCTCCAATCTGGACCCCTCCACAGACAGGGGTTGGGGCTAGTGCTGGAGCAGCCTCCCTTGCCTCCTCATGGCAGCAGCAGGGTGTGTGTGGAGACAGTGCTGAGGGAACCAGCTTTTAAGCCAGCTCTCCCCAGCACCAGCTCCTGCTTCCCCTGGTGGGGAGGGTGGACAGGGGAGGCTGCTCTGGCACCAGCCCCTGTCCACGGAGGGGTCCCACCGGAAGGTTGGGACCCTCTGCAGACAGGAATTGTCCCTGTCCACAGATTGGTGCTGCAGATGGGCTGCTACCAGCTGGGCAGGCAGGCTGAGTCAAGGACCAAACCCTGCTGCGGCTCTGCAATTTAAAAGTCAGTAGGAGCTGGGGGGGGAGGCTGCTCAGCTTCAACTGCCTTTTAAATTGCAGAGCTGCAGCAGAGTTTGGTCCATGCGTGAGCAGTAAGGGAGAAGAGTATAAAAAGATGATAATCTTTGTTTCTCTAAATGACATTTGATAACACTGTTCCATTCTTTTCATGATAGCAAAGATTTTTCTTGCTGCGCTTGACTAAAGGAGGACAAAGTTATTTGAGTTAGGGTTGTGAACTGGTGACCAGTGCTCAGGAGCAGCCACCCTGGAAGCAGGCGCTAGAAACCCCAAACATGAAGAGGGGGACCCGCCAGTTAGGTCCTCTTTAACTGTTTAACTGATTAACCTGGAGTTTATATCCCTAACTTGAGTAGTAGAAGGTGTAAATACAGGAATCAGAGCTTTTATCTGAAACGCTGATTTTATGTGGAAATGGCAATCCAACTTCCATCACTGAAACAAGACGTAGTAATCAGAAAAAGCATAGTTCTTCGTCAACTAATGTTTTATAACAATAGTGAATTGAAGTGGATTGTAATTTGAAAGTGAGACATTTTTGCTTTATAAAACTCCTTACTGTTTTTTTTCCCCTGTAGGCTCACGAAGTTTTATGTTTGGAAATGCTCACGTTGCTTCTTGAAAGACCAACAGATGATAGTATTGAAGTAGCAATTGGATTTCTAAAGGAATGTGGGCTCAAATTAACAGAAGTTTCTCCTAGAGGTATTAATGGTGAGTATAATTAGCTGGTATATTTACCTTTAAATCTAAAATCTTTTTATTAGTATCTGATCACTTCAGATTAGAGTAAGTTTTTGTCTTTAATCTAAAGCAATCTTTGACCGACTTCGCCATGTTCTTCACGAATCTAAAATTGATATGCGTGTTCAGTACATGATAGAAGTTATGTTTGCTGTACGTAAGGATGGATTCAAGGATCACCCAGTCATTCCTGAGGGACTAGACTTAGTGGAAGAAGAAGATCAGTTTACTCATATGCTACCTTTAGAAGATGATTATAACCCAGAAGACGTTCTTAGTAAGTGAGAAATAAAAAAATTAACTTTACAATTTCATTCTGTATGAAAACAAATTTAAGAAGAAACCTGCAATAATTATTTTCTTAGTTTAAATAAGGTTTTATTTTGTTTTGAAGATGTTTTCAAGATGGATCCTAACTTCATGGAAAATGAAGAGAAGTACAAAACTCTTAAGAAGGGTAGGTAAACTGGGTTCACTTAAGTACTCAAGTGAGAGATACAGTTGTGAAGCATACTAGAAGACTTAACTGGCATTGCCCAGGTCCTTCGGGGCAGGGGTCTGGGAGTGGGTGGGGGTGTGGGTGTCAGAGCACAGCTTTGAGGATGTGGGAAGCTCAAGGCGGGAGGCTGTGAGAGCTTGGGAGGGGGGGAGTGAGGGTTTGGAGGTGAGGAGTAGGTCAGGGCAAGAAATGAGAGGTGCAGGAGTTAGGGCCAGGGAGTGAATAGGGGCTCAGAGCAGGAGTGGGGGTGACCACTGGCTTTTAAGGGACAACCCAGGGCAGCAGGAACCGTGCATCCTGCCTGCCAGCTTGTCCCTGGTACCAGTGGGGGCTCTCTTCCTCCCTTCCCTTTGCATATTATTGAAAACAGTACTTTTCCTGAGTTCTCCTAGCACAAACAAACCCTAACCTTGCTTTAAGTTAAGAGAAGAGGAAGCTGCATACCAAATTTGGCCATAGCTCTTATTGTTTAGGAGGAGTTCTTGAACAAGCCAATTCACAGACAGACAGATATACTCTAAAACAGTGGTCACGAATCAATAGATCGGGATCTGCTGGTAGATCTCAGAGCCTCTAATAGGTGATCCTGACTGGCTTGCCCAGGAAGTTATGAAGCGCTGTCACTTCACTTGTCCCTCCACCCACTGTCATGCTGCTCCTGCCCTCTGCCTTGGAACTGTCCCCCTGCTTGCCGTGCATGGTGTGGGAGAGAGAAGGGGGGGGTCACTGATGTCAGGGTGTCCCTCCCCCCCCCCCACTTCTGTACCCTATCTCCACACAGAGATATGTGTAGTTGACTGCACGATTAACCAATAAGCCTGGGCTTATTGGTTAATCCTATCCACTACATGCACTCCCCCACCTTGCAGCCTCTGTATCAGAGGTAGCAAGGGAAGGTGAGGTGGGAGCCAATAAATATGGGGAGCCAGCTCTCAGAGCCACCTGCCTCCCCAGAGGCAGCAGCACAGGCAGACGGGGGAGCTGGCTTAAAAGCTGAATCCCCACCACCACCAGCTCCTGTGGCGACACTTCCTCTCTCTCCCCCCTCTTCCCTCCTCCTCTCCCCCCCCCCCCCCCCCACCCCA